CAAATTTGGACAGCTGTCAATGAGGGACCTCCTTTGTAGCTCGCGCAAAACTTTTTTGGCTTCGGAGGAACTTGATAGTCCTAAAACAGCTTTTGCAATCGTGAGATCAAAATTTTCGGGTAGAATACACAAGGATATCAGTGCCTCTTGATTCTGCGAAGAGAGTCTCTGGAAAGATGATTCAAATAGGGATTTTAGCCTCAAATCACTGGTATAATCTGGGTTGTCCAGAAGCTCAATTAGACTACGTTTCGACCGTAATAACTCATCAAGATCCGAACTACAATGGGCAAAATCTTTAGAAAGTGACGAGCACAAAAGCTTTATGGCTAAAGGCACCTGCCCACAGATCTGCACGATTTTCATTACGTTAGTTGTGTTCACCTCCGGAAGTAGCTCTGTCACCAAAGTCTTGGACGATGATGTTTCGAGTTCTCTTATCCTAACAGACTGGTGTCCCTGTAAAGACACATTCATAAAAGCCATTGACTCCCTCGTAGTTAAAAGAAAATCTACCTTTTCACTGCGGTTGAGAATCTCTTTCAGCAGATTCACAGTCTCCTCTTTCACGGTTGGCGCACCACATTCAAACAAATCATCAGCATTATCAAGGATCAGCACACAGTGATCCGACAGTCGTTCAAAAATGAAACCGATTTCATCTTCAACAGTTAAACCTTGATTCGCTGATTTATCAGTCCGAAAGAAGCTAAGTAGTTTTGACATTAAGTCTCCTTTTGACTTCAGCCCACGTAATGAAATAAAGTAGACAGGCAAACCCCGTTCACGAAGACGATGCCCCACAACAATTGCCGTGGACGTCTTTCCAAACCCTGGAGAGCCCCAAACGGATACGATTCGTGTCGATTCAGAAGTCACGTGACCAATAATCTGGTCACACTCCTCCTCGCGACCAGTGAAATGTGGAACCATCGGAGGGAGATTTGATCGAGGTAAACAGGGTTTATAACCTAAAGAAAAGCAAATAAAAGCATCCATGAATAAATGCTTTACCTTTTTAGCGAATACAGTTAAATCAGAAATTAACAAATGCCGAAAGAAAAGAAATGAAAAGCCTCCACAGTTCAATGCCCTATTCTAAAGCATGTTGGGAGTGGTTAGATCACAGTGAAGTGCAGCCAGGGAAAATACTAGGCATAATCGAATTTCTCTATCTACTTCTTCCGTGCTACTACAGCTTTCTTTGTACCCCAGAACAGAGCAGGGCACAGTGGAGGCTTTTTGTGTGTTATCAGAAAGAACCTATCATTTTCCTCACTTTCTCAAACAGTTTACGGGTGAAGGGGCTAAATTAACGGCTATACAAAGGTTAGCACCTCTTGCAAAAACGGTGTGGTTGCAAAAGTTCCAAACCGAATCTGAAGCTATAAGATGCGTACATTGTTCCAAAATAAAATGAAATAGAAAAATAAAGAAGAAAATCTACGTTAGTACAGCTTAGCCTAGTTTTCGTGCCGACTGAAGGAGTTGAAAGCTAAATTATTTGTGGCGCTTTCCCCATTGGTGTATCAATCGATTGGCTTTCAGTATCAAAAAAGTAGGTATGACAACTTCACCACTTCCGTTAAGGAAAAAATGTACAGTCGACTCCCGATAACTATTACTGTGGCTGGACAAGACCCTTGTCCTGATAAATGGATCAAGGGAAAGCTTGGTAAGATAACATGTAAAAATATCGGCACGTAACGTGAGAAGCCAAACAATTAGCAGCATAATGTCAAGCAGTTGATCTATGAAATCGCGCAGTTCAAGTATTGGTCACGTTGGTTTCAATAGTAACCAATCTTTCAGAACTGCTTACCTGAACTCTCCTCCTTCTGTAGGTCTTTGATCGTTTGGTTGAGCTCGGAAATTTTTTGCGTCACCACCGTTTGGCTAGAAGCGATTGTTTTCAGGTCCACAGTATCGTCACCACGTGATTCCTGTAATAACTTCATCTCACGTTTAAAAGCTTTTCTGAGTGCGCTGCTTTCAGTTTGAATCTCGGAAAACTTTGCATTTATCATTTCTTGGCCGGCAGCGTTTGCCATCCCAAAGGTCTTCTTCAGGTCCAAAGTGCTTTCTAAGTAAGATTCTTGCAAGAGCTTTAGCTCATCTTCTACATTTTTCTCACGTGCAATTCTTTTCTTGTCAAAGTCGGCAAACTTTCTATTTATCATCTCTTGGCTTGCTGTATCGACCGTTTCAATTGCTTTCTTCAGTTCTTGAATACCTTCCCTTTGCGATTCCTGTAGAACCCTTAGCTCATCTTTCACACCTTCCCCGAGAACTTCTCTGAGAAATTCGTTTTCTTTTTGAACCTCTTTTCTGATGTCATCCCTTATCTTCTGAACCTCCTTAGTAGGAAAGTCAGACTCAGTCAAACTTCCAACAGCATCAATGGGGCCAGTATTGACTCCAAGCGCCTTGATCGCGTCTTTCGCGAGTTTAACATATAGATCAAACGTTGTTTTGTCCAATTCGGATTTAAATGCGTGACAGAACGAATTTCTCAACAAACGAATCTGATCGATCGCGAGTGCAATGGTTTCTGCGTTATCTCCAGTAGAACTAACCACAGAAGAATGGAAAGTACCATGTGGTAATTTACAAGGACTCACGTACAAATCATAGAGCGTCCTATGATGGCCTTTGCTGTCTGGTAAAGCAAAGGACCGTGCATGGATGGTGGCCTGGAAAAGGGCTGTACAATCCCATTCATCAAAGGAGCGATTTGTGGGGACTTTGGTTGCTCCACCCTCAGTTCTTAAAAACAGCGTACGTACTTTATTAGAGTCATCCCACGCCTGGAAATTAGGTAGAGACGCAAATTTGGTGTCCCACATCTGTTTGAAAGCTTGACGTAATGCCTTGGGGATCTCATTGAGCGCGATGAGAGCAAACTTGAAGTAGTTCAATTGCTCTTTAGTGAATGGCTGTAACGCCATTATTGAAAGCAACGATTCTTGCCGGACTCCGGTGAAAACTTTCTTACATTTTCACTTAAAGCAGGTCTATGAAAATTAGAAAAAAGATAATAGTTAAATGTTAAACCGAGACTTTGACAATTTGGGGTGAAATGGCAGTGGTGTCGAAATTCTCTTCGAATCAGAAAAGGTGTTTTGATATTCCAGGTATTTTTTCGTAGCAGGTGTACCCTTTGCTATGGACACGTTGTAATCCCTCAGGAATAGAGACTGTATGGACTCTCAGATGTCTCATACTGGCGCTATTGCACAAGCCGGGCTTAACACGAATAACAAAACTGTCCACGTAGAGCTCCGCTCTAATAAAGCCACCTTCGAGTGCATGAGTGTTAAAACTTGAATAATTCACAGGTGCTTTCCTTTTGCTTCACTAGCCCCAACGCTTTGTCTACAAAACTAAAACCGTCCCTATATCAGTTTGGGCTATTAGCTGCGGATAGTGTATTGCTCATAGGTGTACTAATGCAAAACAAGTGTTGCTTTGATTACACGGTACGGATTGTTGAGTTATGAGCGTGTTTTCTACATCAAATTTTTGCTGATTTTTGAAAAAGAACAGACGAACAAACTATGAACTCAGAGCTGAAATTCAAAACCAAATCTCGTTGAAGGCTTCCGGCTAGCGCACTCGACGCCGTGGATCTCCGCTTTATAAACCGTGTTTTCTCGTTATAGACAAATTAAACAAACGTATCAACTGAGCGTTAAATTCCTGTCACGTGAAACTTTCTTTTCGAATTTAAAGAAAAGGTTAGAAACATTGTTCAATCATGGCCTGAAAGCTCATAAAGTTTTTGAAATGCGAGTTACGAGATACAGCAGACTTTCGGCAAAAAAATTATTTATTCATTCTCATTCAACCACAAGCACCTATACAGCGTTACTTTGACGAAAGTCGAATTAGTTAAAAAATGGTTTTAAAAGGCGATCTTGATTCTGGGGAACGTGAAGTAAATTTCAAAATTCCGTAAAAACAAAGCGAGTCACACTACAGGGAAACCACACAAGCGGCGTGTCTGGTCGTTTGTTCGAAATATAAAGAAATGTATGGGAGAATATTGAAGAGTCATACTATCGTCAACTTATATCGAGAAATGTCTATGTTAGGCTCAAAATAAATGTAAACCTACCTCACTTGCTGTGTATTGTCGTTTCTGTTGTTCTAAATGGTGAATTTGAGCGATTTGGTAGATTCTGCGTTGAGTGTTGCTTCACGTTATAAGAGGGAGACAAGGGTGGAAAGCTCATTTTCGACCGCTCCAGCGCGAAGCCGATTTTCACCCATAAATTAGAATCGCCTGGCTTCTAAATCAAACACTAGATAAACTAAAACGTTGACGCTTCTTCTCGTGTCATTCAATCGGAGATCCATTCAAAATCCAAGCGCTAACCGCCGAAAAAGTTTCGGGTTGGTCAGCGGTCTTAATGGCGATCGGATGTGTATTTTCGTCGCCTTGGCTTTTGCTGATCCGTTTGATCTTTCTGATATCCTCTGGACGACAAAAGGATTTTAGTAGTTTTTCCATTGATTCGTTTCATCTGCCTACGAAGTCTGGTTCTCATGTGGTAAGTTTTTCGCTGAATTTTCATCACTCCTCTTCGTGGAATCATGTCTGCCATTTTGCCTTTGCAACACGCAGGAAAAGATATTTAAACTTGTTGGTGAGCTACTATGCAAATTCCGACGGCAGTTTCCAGCAAACTCGTCTTTCCAAAAGCGGCGACGTTTCTCTCAACCCTGAACGATTTCTCATAAGTGCTCAATCTGTAGACGAACCGTGGCTCGAAACCATCAAGCTATAAGCTGCGACTCTTGCTCTCTATGGTGCCATATAAACTGTGGAAGTGTAAATCTCCGACAATATTAACTGATGCAACAAGCCGGTGATATCTGTTGGACTTGTCCTCGCTGCCTTCTATCCACGTTACCTTTTGCCCACGTTAGCGACAATGAGCTTGTAAATCACTTTTCCACAATAAACTCCACACAGACCACCGAAACTATGGTCCAGCTACTTCATTCTTCTTCTAGCGCCAGCTTTTCAAAGCCCGCCTTTGGATCGGGAAGGCTTCGTTGCTTACTCACAAATGTTCGATCACTGAAAAACAAATTGCTGGATATTCAAGCTGCAGTTTATAGTGCTGGCCTGGATATCATAGCCGTTACTGAAACATGGTTAAACTCATGTAATCTTGACCATGAAATCCTTCCCTCAGGTTGCCAGTTACACAGGAAAGATCGTCAGGATCGTCAAGGTGGAGGAATTCTGTTTGCATTACGGAATGATTTTGTGGTAGTCAGAAGATACGATCTGGAAACTGATTGTGGGCTAATGTGGAATGAACTGCAAACTGCTGCCGGTCTTAAGCTCCTGTTTGGTGTCTTCTACCGTCCCCCAAATACTGGTATAGAATACATGCTTCTCCTTCAAGAATCTTGCTCCCGTATTGACAACTTGACTTTCAATAAGATTTTCCTCGTTGGAGATTTTAATCTGCTTAACTTTGACTGGATAAATCAGATACCCCTCTCCACTGATCAACTTTACCTGAAGACCTACGAAATCATAAACGACTTATTCCTCACTCAAGAAATTACACCTGCTACTCGTGGTAAAAATATTCTGCACTTGGTTTTGACTTCTACGCCTGACTTAGTTACTGATCTGTGATTGAGCGCGGGTTTCTTACATTCCGACAATCTCAGTATATCCTTCAGTATCTCTGTCAAACCTACATGCTTTCAACTGTGGCTGTTTCTTTTTCTGAGGTAAAATCCATCTTCGAAAACCTGGACCCATCAAAAAGTCCTAAACCAGATGGCATAACTGCCAGGTTCTTGAAAGAGTTTTCTTCTGAAGTAAGTGACTCGGTTACATCAATTTTCAACAAGTCATTAACAAGTGCTGTTTTCCCAGAGAAATGGAAAGACTCAAATTTCACCCCTGTTTTTAAACCTGGTCAAAAAGATGTAAATACCAATTATAGAGGTATCTCACTTTTGTCCATTATGTCAAAATGTCTTGAAAGATGTGTCCATACCCACATTTACAGCCATGTCCAAGACTCTCTTCACCCAGAACAACATGCTTTCAGAAAACATAAATATTGCGTCACCCAACTTGTTCAATATATTCATTCACTGGCAAAAACACTTGACTCGGGTGGTCAAACTGATGTCATATACCTGGACATGGCAAAAGCTTTTGACCGGGTACCACATGAGAAACTTATGTATAAACTTGAAATGCTTGGCTTTCGAAATCCATTCTTAGCCTGGATCAAAGACTATCTCACAAATAGACGTCATAGAGTCCCCATCGAAGGCATTGCGTCAGACTGGAAGCCAGTTACTTCCGGAGTTCCTCAAGGATCTATCATTGGCCCAATTCTATTTCTTGTATATGTAAATTACATTGCGGAAAACCTTTCTACTGGTACCAGTCTTCCCTTCTATGCAGATTATGCAGAGTGTGCCAGAGTGATTAACGACCTTAATGATTGTTACACCCTCCAAAACGATCTGTCAGCTCTACATGACTGGAGAAAACTATGGGAAAGGAACTTTAATTTACAGAAATGCAAACAGCTCTGTATAACAAGGAAGAAAAAACCAATCCACAATATCTATCATCTTGGTACGGAACAATTACTCCTATCTGACACGGAAAAGGATCTAGGTGTAATGTTACTTCACACACTAGCATGGCATGACCACATCTTTACAAAAGTAAATTCTGCTAATAAGATCCTGCGGCTAATTAAACGGACATGTGGAAATCAGACACAGTCTGCTGTGATTCGCAAGCTTTACATACACCTTGTGCGGCCTCACCCTGAATACGCCTGCGAAATCTAGTCCCTTCACAAAGCCTTTTTGCAGGACTTGATTGAAAGCGTTCAGAGACGAGCCACGCGACTCCTGAGCAAAGGAAAATCTTACATGGAGCGATTGAAATCTCTCCATCTTCTAACCCTTAAGTCTAGAAGTACTCTTCTTGACTTGATCTTCTTTTAAAAATGTTTAAAGAGACTCTTAAATGTTAACTTATATACAAAATAAATACAGCATATGAACTAAGAAATGCTGATTTGTCATTTAAAACTCAATATGCGAAAACAAACATGCTAAAATATTCCTATTTCGATAAAACAGTTAAAGCCTGGAATTGTTTACCTATGCATGTCAGAAAGTCTGAGTCTCTTTCTGATTTTAAAAGTCTTTGTAAGGCTTATTTATACCAGTTAGACACTAAATTAACCTAATTTATTATTATTATTATTATTATTATTATTATCATTATTAAACAACAACAAACATATGAAACATATGTGTGAACTGCGGTTATGAGACGTATATGAGCACGATCCTTCGCAGTAAAGCACTATTTGAGCAATAGTGAAAATCAGACCTGAAAAAAATTTCAGGCCTGTACGGGATTCGAACCACTGACCTGATTTTCACTATTGCTCAAATAGTGCTTTACTGCGAAGGATCGTGCTCATATACGTCTCATAACCGCAGTTCACACATATGTTTCATATGTTTGTTGTTGTTTGATTTATCATCTACGGGTTTATATCGAATTAATTTGATGGCCTGCTCCCAGTTGGCTTGTTAGCTCAATTGGTAGAGCGCTGCACTAGTATYGCAGAGGTCAGTGGTTCGAATCCCGTACAGGCCTGAAATTTTTTTCAGGTCTGATTTTCACTATTGCTCAAATAGTGCTTTACTGCGAAGGATCGTGCTCATATACATATTATCATTATTATAACTATATCATTATAAATATATATAGGTATGTGTAGTGTTATTCTTTTTCGGGTGGCCTTTTGTAAGGGGAACCTGTTCCTGTTTCTTGGCCTTCCCCTCAGCTTTGTATATGTGTTAAGTTTGTTGAGAAAATGATTAAAGGAAAGTAAAGTAAAGAAATGCAGCTTTCCAAGCGATCGGCATCCGCGGCACAGATTTCGTGTGCCAGGGAGCAACCGTCACGCTGTTTGCTCCCCGTTGATTGGCTGATGGT